TTATACTGCATCAGCAAGGTCTCCCCCAGGCAAAAATTTCAAAGCAAGTGCTGTTCAAGCTCTTTCAAAGAAGCACAAAGAAACAGGCAACACTGAGGACTGTAGATGCAGTGGTTGGCCAAGGAAACTTAATGCAGCAGATGGAAGACACATCATGCTTGCTTCCCTTTGACATTGGAAGATGTCCAGCAGTGCCATCAGCACAGAACTGGCGGAAAACAGTTGGGCTGGAGAGCGGTACAATAATGAGTCTGCAGGCAACAGTGAAGCATGGTGGAGGTTCCTAGCAAGTTTGGGGCTGAATTTCTGCAAATGGAGAATGGTGGGACCACCAATGCTGTCCTTAATGCTGAGAAATACAGACAGATACTTATCCATCATGCCATACCATCAGGGAGGCATGTGATTGGCACCAAATTTATTCTGTAGCAGGACAATGACCCCATACATACAGTCATTGTCATGAAGAACTATCTTCAGTGTAAAGAAGAACAAGGAGTCCTGGAAGTGATGGTTTGGCCCTGATCTCAACATCATCAAGTCTGTCTGGGCTTACAAGAAGAGACAGAAGGATTTGAGGCAGCCTACATCCACAGGAGATCTGTGGTTAGTTCTCCAAGATGTCTGGAACAACCTACCTGCCGAGTTCCTTCAAAAACTGTGTGCAAGTGTACCTAGAAGAATTGATGCTGTTTTGAAGGCAAAGGGTGGTCACCCCAAATATTGTTTTGATTTGGGTTTTTCTTCTGTTCACTCACTTTGCATTTTGTAAATTGATCAACATAAACAATTACAATATATATTTTTGAAAGCATTCTTACTTTACAGCATTTTTTCACACCTGGCTAAAACTTTTGCACAGTACTGTATATCTATATCTATTCATTCCCCTATGTAGTGTGCTTGATTACACAGGACTGGGCAGATGGATGAAAACTATGATTATGCAGTATCTGTAGTCATGTGGTTGCTGGATATAGCATTTCCTTTACTTGGAAACCCCAAGTCAGTCCCCTATTCCAGATTTAGTGGCTCAACCTTCATTTTTTTTAGCTGCTAAAGCAACATAGAAGCCAGCCCATGCAATATTTTTCAAGACTATAAATTCTCAGTCCTTCCCATTTTTCACTTGATCACTTGTTCTTCCATTAATGGTAGCTGACACACTGCCTGAAATAGGTTTTGTTAAGTTCCTGACTATTCTCCATCAGAATTAACATTTGGAAAAAGATCTCCTCCTGGAAATTAAGAGGCAGTTCTTAATTGGTGCTGATAATTTTTTTTTTCTTCAAACAAGTATTTATCTTTTTCAGACAATCTGGAATACTGAAAGCAGTTTCCTAGATAGACTGTCATTTCAAGTTATGCCTTTTTTAGTCCATTTTTTCCCCATACACTTGAAATTGTTGAGAAAGATCAAAGCTGCATCCTGTTGAAATCTATCTTATATAAACCTGATTGACTGCAAGAGAAATAGACCTGGCTTAACCCCGAAATCTGCAGCCTTTACACAGACAATCTATTTGTTTAAAACTCCTATTCACTAAAATAATAAATCTCCTCCCCTACCTCCAGCAAAATAAAAGGGAAGTCCTAATGTATTTTCAGTATAGAAGATACAAGTGAATATTTACATAAATGGAAACAGGAAGGTTTTGCCTAAAATGGGGATTGTTAGCCGACAATGAAATGTTTCACTTATATACCTGAGTGGAAAGTGATCTAGAAAATAAATACATTCCTTGGTTGTTTATTAAGTGCAACTTTCTCTTTCTCTTCCCCTACCCCTCTCTCCCATTTCCTCTTTTTAGACAGAAAACCTCTTCATGAAATAAAACCCCAAAGTAAGTTTCTCTCTTGTATATGTGTTTTCTAAGAGCCCATTTAAATATATATATATATATATACACATATATATACATATACTGTATATTTATTAAAGTGTCAGGCTAACTGTAAAGCCAATGACTCAACTGAAAGAAGATACAAAACTAATGTTTGCAGAAATCTGTTTTCTAACTGCTTCAAAGTTTTCTTGCCCTACCAAACAGGCATTCTTACAGAACTTCAGATTTTTTTTTGAGGGATGTTGGTAGACAGTGCTTGTGAGTGTAGTTTCTTGTTGCAAGATGGTTGAAATGGTTATTGCTTCTGTTGTGTCCCTCCTACCCCATTGTCTATCAACCCATAGCCTCCTCTGCCACCCGTTTCTCCTGTTCAGGAAACATGGGGTGGGTTTTCTCCTACGTCAGGGAAATAATTTGTTACATATGTCTTTCCTTTGTGTGAAGCCTCTGAGGAGTTATAAACTATGGGAAAGAGAGATGACACTCACATACATCTTTCTGTCATGTCAGAACTAAGATATGTGCAAGAGCCCTGCATCTCATCTTTGAAATGTTCACTGTTTCTTTTTTTCCCTTTATCTGTTGGGACCATGTCCTTCCTGTCAAATGGAGAAAAAAATGAGGGAGGAGGAAACATGAAGAAGCCATTTCATAGGTCTCTTTCTATGTGATCATTGATCACATGGAAAAGGAAAGAGAAATCTGCTCCAAGATCAGTGAGTTGAGTAGCTTTGTCAACCCTCCCCACCCTATTCTTTGGTGTTAGATGGAAGTCTGTAGAGGAAGTGTTCAACCTTTTGATTGAGCAGACAATCATTCAGAGTAGGCAAATGTAAATCAAATCAAAATTATTTTGTATGTTCTAGCTCTACTCTGTAGGTTTTATTTAGTAAGTTTTATTTAGTTTGGGTCACTGACCTGTAATAAGAACTTGTTTTAATTTAGTTTAATACATGTATTCAAGCATAAATATATTTCAATATTTGAACTTCTTCTGATTTTTGTGATACAATTCCTTAATTAAGTTATACACCAAAAATGTATGTTCTAGGAAGAAAGCAAATACAAAGTGAGCATATTCATGAAAAGAAAATTGGAAAAACTCATAGTATTAGTGGGAACTATTTTACACAAATGTATATATTTGCACTTCAGGAGGAAAAAAATATTGGGATGATATTCGTGAAAACACAAATGTTCAGGTAGCCGTTTTTTTTAAATAAAATGATGCTAAAACACGACAAGCTGTATTTAAACTTGGAAACATAAGACAGTGAGTCAGACTAAAACTGAGGAATTCATGTTTCCTTCTAGTAAACATTCTGGTATGAATAGTTTAAAACAGCGTTCGAGAGCTCTCCCTCGGGTCCCTTTCAAATACTGTGGGATTTAGCACAAATGGGACCTTTTTAAGACTCTGAGATATCCAGTAATAGGAGTTTCATTTGAGAATACAGAATCTTTTTATGCCAATGTATTTTTTTTCTCCTTTTTTTGTGGGGGAGGGGGGTGTCAATTGCCAAAAAAAAAAATGCTTCAATCATTCTTGGGTTTATCTTTTTTAAGGGATCAGTTAGAATGCCATGAATGAAAAGTCTTGACTTGATTCATCCAATCATGTCAAATACTGAACCATGCTTTGCATGGAACCTCTCCATGTGTAGGGCCTCCCCTCTCTTAAATTCTCCCCTTTCCTAAAAATGCCTTGGGTGTGGAGAACTACAATGTGTTGGGGGAAGATCTGAAATTCAGCATTCTGTCTTGTGGAAGTTCTATTAGCTCAAACAATCCTCCTTGAAGATGTTTCCGTTGCCATAGCTGCACCAGAGAAAAAAATAACAGAATCCAGCTGCACATGGTAACAAATGAATCTCACCCCAAAAGGAAAAGATATACAATATTTTAATAATCTATTTGTGTAGGAGGAAAAAAGCCTTACATTCAGAACAGCCAAATAAATAAATAAATAAATAAATAAATAAATGATGATGATGATTCAGAATGTTGTTTTGTTTAGGAGAAAAACAGTCAAATAGGGCTGCTTTGAAAATGCTCATGATTTCCTTTCAACCCTACTAAAGCATTTGGCTTTAGTTAATAATTAGTATTAGCAGGGAAGGGAGGGAAAACAAGAGCATGCTAAATAACTTCCTTTACCACCAAGTCAATGTTCTTGTTACTCTGCAAAATGAAATTTCTGCCATTTTTTTGGGGGGGGGGGGATTTGTGTCCTTGTGCAGTTCCTGCACAATTTAGAATCCTGGGGGGAAAAACATCAGACTTCTAAAATTTTCAGAGATCAAAACAAGGAATGGAGAGAAATAAAGTTACTGTACTGATTCTCTTCTTACATTGTTCATTTTATCCCAATTCAGGAGTGAATGATTTTTAAGAACTGTGGGCACCCATGTTGGTAGTGTAACATAAGGGAAGATGGACATCTTTGGGGGGGCGGAGTTCTTGGGAGGGCAGTGGCTTAACATGCCATCAAACTTGGGATAGTCCAAGGCTAAGTTTGCAATGTCATGTTCGAACGGCCTTTCTCCATGGAAAACAGTAATGTTCTCCCAGGACCATAGAGAATTTGAGAGCTCTGCTTTGCAGATATTTCGCATGTCTCAAATATTTTTGGAGCTGCTGTTCTAACTCTTACAGAGTTTTTAATCTGTAATTGATTTGCCATATTGGGCATCACCCCATTTTGCACCTGGTTTAGGCTAGTGGACTTCTGGATTTTAGTCAGCAAGAGAACAAGGATCATCTCTCAAGCCCCAGCTCTAACCTCTCTTTGATTGTAATGCACTTGGTAGCTCAACAGTGTGTCAGATTGTCTAACTGATTGCAAGCTTTTTGTTTATCTTCTTCTCATCTCCAGCATCATGATTGGATCCTTAAAGAGGGTCAGCTAAATTGCTGAGGTCGATTTTAGTTCCTTTAGCTCCTGGGGGAATTAAACTATTTATTCTGAACTGGGAGATTAGAGGTGTGTTTTATAAATAAAGCTTGTTGCTGGCTTTTGAATTGAGTGGGTATTAGGTTTGAGGCCATATGAATCATCATTGATGCAAAATCAAAGTTAATTATTAAGATAATTGCAAAACAACCAATTGTAGTAAATAGGCTTATATATAATCCTCCCTGGCTTTAGAACTCTGTTTCTCACATGGCAGAACTTCTCCATGGGGAGACAAGGGAAGGTCTGAGTGGAGAAGTAGATTTCCATGTTTAGCAGCTACCGAAGGGAATAGTAGGAAGAAGAAAGATTGCAAGAACTGGGTGTAATTGTTCTTATCTGGGAGAGAATGAACAGTGAATTGGAGGCGATGTGTACCCTGCACAGCTTGTGCAAAACTTTATTACAAATGAGATAATTTAATCAATTATGCTTCCTAATGTATTAAACCCAAATGTTTCATTTTGTGCTCCTACACTTCTTAATTTATCTTCAGGTATTTTTATAAAACTTAATCATGCTTAATAAAAACTTCATTACCATAAAAGAATGCTTTCAGATAAATGTCTTTAATGGTGTCAGGAAGCACAATTAAATGCAGACAAAGTTCAGGGATAACATCAAATGATAGTTTGATAGCTCTGGGCTTATGTATTCCTTTCCCCCTTCATGCCGTCTTCTCTCCTCTCTTAATCTGAGGAACCCCTAGTTGAGGAATTTTGTTTTGTGCCTAACTTGACAAAGCAATTAGAAACCAGAGTCTGAACATGATGTTTTGATTCTGCTTTAAAGGGCAAATGCATAGAATAGCATTGTGGAATTGGATGGGACCCTAAGGAACGGTTATGGATACAGATCCAAAACTTACCAAGTTAGATGACTGGAAAACCATAGAAAGGGTTGTACCTGGTGATAAAGTGCCTGCTTTGGATACGGGAGATCCCAGTTTTAAACTTTGTAATCTGCAAGCAGGAGAATCACCCACTATCAGTTTAGATATACTGATGATCGAAGGCACCTCCCCATGTGTTTATGTCCTATCAAGTGATAGTGTGATGGTAACACCAAAAAGTTGTTAATTGTTTGTAATAGACACAGCCCCTTATAGTCCCCTTTTGAGTCTTTGGATTGCCGGATTAGCAAAGGGGGAATTGTGACTGGTTCTGGGGGATACTGGTGGAACTGAGTAAAAAGTGCCTTATCATTCACCCCCACCCTAGCATTTAGGTCACCAGAAACTATTACATAAACTGTGTGATTATTTGACATAAGAGTACTTATGTATACTTCCAATCTGGTCCATAAATTGTTAAATTGGGACCTATTTTGAAGAGGTAGAAGTTAAATATTAACCAGTAATAATACAGCATTATTCAATTTTAACAGCATAGACATTGCAGTGATAGGGTGATGGTAACACCAAAAAGTCTTTAGAATATTGTGGTTAGAACACATGAAGCTAGTAGTGTTCTAAGAGTTTTTACAATGTGCCATGTGGGATTTACTCTGATTTTCAGAGTAGAATCTAGGGTTCTCCAATGATTGCTTGGGAGGTAGCTTACTGAGATGAAAAATAGTTTCTCAGGGAACATAGCAAATTAGTGTGGGGGATAACTCAATATTGCTAATTACTGAGGGATAACTCAGATAAACATGTTCAGATCCAGCAGCGTCTGGGGGCATCAAAAAAAGATGTCAGTCTTGACTGTATGACTCAAACCCCACCCCTTTTTTATGTGCATCCTGTATGATTGTAAAAATGAGGTGGGGCTAGAATAATGCATGATCACTATCTTAAATTTTTATGCATCCCCCACCCCAGTGGATGCCCTTGTTCAGATCTACATTTGAATTCCTGATAGTCAGCGCTTCTACCTGGCTAGCAGAACTGATAAAAAAAAAAGTAATTAATACTCCTATTTTTGCAGATGAGGATCATGAAGCAAACTGCTAGCTTAGATAGGTCAAGGAGCAAATGTAAATTTCACTAACTTCATACTTTTCTTTGCTGGATCTTTGCAATTCGTTTTCTAGCCCCCCCCCCAAAAAAAACACATAAATCAGTGGCCCCATTTTAAATAACAACAAATATAGTGTTGTATAAATAAGCATCAATAAATGTACAAAATCCATTTACATGAACCAGATCCTTCTGAATTTTGTGTACATGTGTGTGTATGTATGAATGTATGTGTATTCATTCCTTCTCAGTTTGAATCTATATATAATTGGGTTTCTTGGTTTGAAGAAGTGAAAAAGAGAGATAAATCCATCTGTGGACTGCATTTTTCTGAAGTGGCATTATTTTCAGAATCCCATGTGACAAGCCATTGCTGTGACATTGCCTAATTGGCCCCACTGACAAAGATTAATGCCTGTTTTCTATGGAGAGAATTGGAATGGAAGAATAACAGTCAAAGAAACTGTTTGGCCTTAGTGGCATAACACATCGTTTTGCGCAGTGTGTTTTTTGATGTTTTGATGAATTCCTATGGTTAACCTATTTGGGGCAGATTTTTCTGCCTCGGGGAGGGTGGGGAGGGCAGGTTAGGCTGTCATTTGGCATTGTTTGTTTTATGTACTATTTTATGTTTCTCCTGATGGTTCAAATGTGGTGCCTTCTAATTTCTCTGTTGATCCCTCCCAGTCTTGATGCCTGTTGAGGAATTGGCATACTCTCCAAATTCCAAGTCTGACCACTGGTTAAAATGGATGGATGAGAGAGAGAGAGAGAGAAAGAGAGAGATTTCTCATTCAGATCCCAGCTATCTATTTCTCAAGCAAAATGAACTTGAGAGCAGAAAGAACTGCTTATTCCACAGATGAAAAGTAATAAACCCATGGTTATAAACCAGCAGAATAAAGCCAATATTCCTCAAAGCTTTTCAGCAGGAAAGGGAGCTCTGCAAATGATCTGCCTTGTTTTCTTTTCCACCCACTCTCTACCACACAGGCTGGGCACTGCCCTTCAGAATATGCATCTGTAAGTGAGTACCTCCAACTTGGGAGACTCATTTGAAGAGGCCGTGAGCAAACGGAAGGCCGAAACATATCTGCTCCTTCCTAAAGACAGAGATACATTTACTGAATAAAACAGCAACTTTTTAAAAGCCCTCCATTGTCCCCTCTGGTTGGATATTTGCAGGATCAGACCCAGGAGTCAAAAGAGGTTTCACTAACATTAGAAGATGAATGAGGTGACCAGGTGTGTCTGGTCCAGCATGCTTGAAGCACTGTCCTTTTAAATAAACTGTTTCCTCCAGTATTTCTTGGAACCCTCATGTGATCTCCTTCTATTGTGAAAGCTTTAATTTGAATTCCTTGCTTGAAGCTTTAATTTGAATTCCTTGGTTGCAAGCACGGACTAAATTCTCCTATCCAATGCTAAGATTCTCTAAGTGCATCATGGTCCATATGGATTGGACATATTTTCCAGAAGACATTATAGAGTTGTAAAGGGGAAGAATGGACACTATGCAGATTTAGTGTTCCTTCCATTCCAGAATCCTATAGGAATTAATTACCCATTTTATTCCTACTCTCCCCTCCCCGCCCCCCACTTTCTACAGGCAGACAAGAAAAGTGTCTCCATTCCTTTAACCATGTAGGCAGATTGATATGGGTAATGATTCCTATTCTCAGATAATTATTCCTATTTTTACAGCCAAAGCTCCTGTGTGTTTAAGCTGAATGTTGGTTTTGAATTGGCCCTTGTTTTAGTATTCAGAAGGACAGCCTGCATTCATTTAGGCTATTTCTTCTCTACTTCTCTGCAGACATCGAAAATGCAACAGACATTGCCCTATACTCAGGCCTAGGGGCTGCGGTCATTGCCGTTGCGGTCATTGTTATTGGGGTGACTCTCTACAGGCGGAGCCAGAGTGAATATGGCGTGGATGTGATTGACTCCTCAGCTCTGACGGGAGGCTTCCAGACATTTAATTTTAAAACTGTCCGGCAAGGTTGGTAAAATTGGATGACTGCTTTTTGAGAAGGATCCCACCAGTGGAATTAACTGACAAAGTTTCAAGCTACTTTGCACTTTTCATGTACGTGGTGTGGGATTTATTTTGTGCTCACACCACTTATACTATATTGATCAACTGAAACAAAATGGGAAGAATAGATATCTTGAATACACATAAATCCTCCTGTATTGCTATGCTTCCGCATTTAGACAGCTGGGAAGTTGTCAGCTTTCTAAATACACAAAGTCTGCTAATCATGCTTCTACATATCTTAAATATCTTTCTTACAAAATTCGGGTGCAAATGCATCCTTTTTGAACCAGAAGAGGATATAGAATTAAGACTCCCCTCTAGTACCACACACCCACTGAGAACCACAGTGGAATGTGAACCAGGATGTTTAAATGTCATGGTTCTAATACAATCCTAAATTAGTAGGAGTGGGAAATTTGGTGGATGTCTGGACCAGCCAGCACCAGTGAGCATAATCAGTGGTAATAGACTGTTATACAACATATGTGAAAGACATCCATGTGCCAAACCCAAGCTGTGAGCTTATTGCTGTTATTGTTTAAGTACAGCAGCACCATATTTAAAAATGGGGTTTGGTAAGCATCCTTAAGCCCAATAAGTTAAATATGTTTAATTCCCAGATTGCAGCAATAATGGGTAAAGATCTTGTTGATGCTGTGGTAAAATGTCTCAATCAAGTCTACTTTCCTATAGACATCTTCACTGAAGAATGAATGAATTCAGAATTCTTGATCCATTTGTTCATTGTTTATTCAATCCAAGAGAAACATTTGAATATTGAGCAATGAGGAAGAAACACTTAGCTGTCTTTGTGTCCTACTTCATATAAAAGTTATATAGTATGTTCCACTGTTCAAGTACCATTATTCAAGTTTAGCAGTTCTAATCTCAGCTCTGATACATCTGTACTTGAAAAAGGTAGACCATTCGTGGAGAGTTGAAGACATGAGTAATGTGTTATCTGTATATAAAGCCCAATTTGCCAAGTTTAGTCATTACTGCATCGTTAAACACTTAGGTAATCTAAATTGTCCATTCTGATATTTTTACTAAGGACTCTTTTCTTGAAGACTTTATGTAACAAGTTAGGGTTTTTGTTTTTTCAAAAATAACATTCTGATTTCTGAAAAACGTGGTGCTGAAAGTGTGAAGACAACTCTGTTTATTTATTTATTTCTCCTTAAGAAAGGAATGAGATAAGAATTATTTCATAGAATCATAGAGTATATGGGTTGAAAGGTATCCTGAAGATCATCCAGGATGCCCTAGAGTAGGAACTCTATACTGTGGCGTCCCCAACAGTTGGCCATACAGTTTTTCTAAACATCTCCAACAAAGGAGAGACCACCAACTCCTGAGGCAGCCTGTTGCACTGAAACAGATCTTACTACTGTATTAGGATTTTTTTTTACCCAATATCCAACCAAAGTCTAATTTCACGTAATTAACTCCATTATTTCTTGCCCCATCTAGTATAACTCTGAACAATTCTACATGGCAGACCTTGAGATTCTTCATAACAGCTATCATTCCCAAGGCCTCTATTCTCCATAAATCCCCTCAGCCCTTCATCATCTATATTATTATAATGAATATATGAATTATCTACATGAGAAACTCATTTTAACTTTCATGGTGATTTGGGGGGAAAAAAGTACTATATTAGTGTTCTGAGAGTTTAACAATGCATCTATGTAATAACTACATATACAGTATATTTCATCTATATGGTCATTCATATGCACATTGAATCACATATGAGAAACAACCATTGGAAGGGGACTGTCATGCAGAAGATGAAGCAGTATGATTCAAAACTGTTTCAGAAAGCAAGACAAAAAACAATGGGTTTACATCACAAATTAGACATCAAGAAGAATGTCCTAATGGTACAAGCTATTGCACAATGGAAAAGGAGTTGGTGAATTCTCCTTTGTTGGAGATGTTTAAACAGAAGCAGGATGACCATCTGTTGAGGATGCTGTAGCAGTGGATTCCTGCACTGGGCAAGGGGATTGGATTTCAAGATCTTCAAGGTGCCTTTCAACCCTTTATGATTTGATGTAAGAAACGGGGGGAAATCAACCCTCTTAGAAATCTAGGCCTCCAATTTGCTCAGTGGTCACTGAGCCAAAGAACTCCTATAATGAGATTTCTAGCTATTTCTCCCGGCGTGTATTATTAATATACTCACACACCAAGAGAGAGAGAAATTCAAGACTAAACTAAGAAAAACAAACAAAAAGCATATAGTTTTAAAGGAGTTCAAATTAAATGGTAACAGCATATTCTGGATGGAAAATTGCAAAAAAATATCTATGCATATACACTTACATGCGCATACTTATAACAATAAATCATATGTTTTATGTGTATGTGTGTACTTATGTGTGTTGGCAAGATTACTGAAGCACAAAAATATTTGGGCAAGGATGCCAAGCTGTTGAGAAAAAGTTAATGAAATACTGTCAACATTGTAGCATACAGTATGTAGAGAATATTCCCACACTTTGTCATATATAAATGTATATAAATTATTGAAAACAGAGAGTGCTTAATGCTTATAGGAAAACAGTCATTGACTGAACATTACCCAGATAAGTTCAGAAACTGGCTCCTGAAAGAGATTTTTAAAAAAAAAAAATCAGGGAGACAATTTAGACGCTGTTATACCCCTGAAAATGATCCAAGATCTGATCCCACCCACTCATCTACTGTATTTTTTTCTCCTTATTCTACCCATTCATTCTGATGACTTTCTGCTCTGGTGACTACAGTGGAATAATAAAAAGTCCGTAAGTTACCATTCTCTGATGAATAGTAAGCAACCTTGGCTGCCTGTCTACCAGAACATTGGGGAAATACAGCTTCTTAATGCCCCTGATTCGTCTCCCAGATGTCTCCAAATTTGGAAGCTCAAAAATACCCAGAGTCTGTTCTGTTCTAGAGTCTATTTCTGTTCTAGAGAGAACAGGGATAAGAAAGGTCTCTCTCATTACCTCATTTCCACAAGTTTCAGCACAGCCAGGAAAATTGAGCAGAAGGGATTGTTTAGTTGGAAGAGAGTAAGGGAAAGAGAGTGCAAATTCTTCCTTGGCCCAATTTAAAATCAAAGCTGAAGAAGAGCAGTCAGAGTATGGTGTTAATTTTGTGAGTGTACAGTATGTGCATTTTGAACCAGCATGATGTATAGGTATCAACTGCTTGTTCTGCTCTGAAATATTCCTAGATGAAATAAAGTGAGATGGGCCCTTCACTGGCAACACTATAATTCTTCCTGTTTCCATAGTGGAGAATATATGTAGCTCAGGGTTGAATTGTTGGTTTTGGGTGTTCTCTGTGCTTACTTCTCTTCCTAAAGATGTTTCATTACCAGGCTGGGTAACATAATCAGTGCATGGAGGAGTGGGGTTTGCTGGCTGTTTACATGTGGTAGCTTGTTCTACCAGCCTTGATTGTTTTTTTTTTTCCCCTTTATTGCTTTTTGGGTGGGGTATTGTTTCTTCTTTATTTTTGTTTATCTGGTACTGGTTCCTGCTTATCTGATTATACTGGTTAATAGAGGTATAATGAGGAAGAGTGTGTTTAGGTCTGTTTGCCTCTTTCCTTCACCTTGGTTGCTTCTCTTCTTGAATGGTTTGTAGGTGGAGCTTATCTCAATGTGCCTGTTAATGGCCTCTAGAACTTTTCTTGCATTTTTAGATCTCAATAATAGAGGTAGCTGATGGTTGAACTGTTGGGTTCTTGGTGTTCCCTGAGCTTGGTTGTTTTCCTGCAGATGCTAAGTAACGTCATCAGTCTATGTGTCAGCCCATAGGTAGACCAGACCAAGAAATGAACTCCACAGGAAGGCTAAAACTACTTTTATAGAGATTGGTTGTAATAACAGAATCTTGTAAGTCTGATTGTGTTGTACCTTCTCCTTCTTATAGTCCATTGACTTAGGGAGGTGTCTGTCTGAGCCGCTTCTGAATGTTATCTGAACATTGTGGACTTAGAAAATGTTTTACCTCTTGTTTACAGAGCTTGCATATCTCCATCAAGGTCAACTTTCTTACTCTTTTCAACATGGGAGAGTTGATCTGCTGGTGGCTGATGCATAGTAGCTTGCTCTGCCAGTAAACCCTACTCTCCTATGCACTGTTGATATTATCTTGCCTGATCATGAAACATCTGGAGGAAAACATCCAAGCTCACTGAACACTAAGAGCCCAATTAGAGCTGGTTTGGTCTAAGATGTCTACAGTTTCCCAACTAAAATGGTGGTTGAGTCAGGCATGGGAGTTTCTTCCTGATATTTAGTTTTCTGTTTTGAAAAACGTTTACTTACTTGTAATTTATTACAAAATCTCCCATCTGAAGTCTAAAGCAATGTTGCCCAGGATTTGCAACCTTAATGTAGAACTAAGTATACAGACTATACTTTGGATTCTATGTGGCAATGGTAACTGATTGCTTGATTGATTTCCTTCCATCAGGTAACTCCTTGCTTTTGAACTCATCCATGCAGCCTGACCTGACTGTCAGTAGGACCTACAGTGGACCCATATGCCTTCAAGATCCCATTGACAAGGAGCTGATGACAGAATCTTCCCTCTTCAACCCTTTGTCTGATATTAAAGTCAAAGTTCAGAGTTCATTTATGGTGTCGTTGGGTGTGACAGAACATTCTGAATATCATGGGAAAACTCATTCTGGAACATTTCCACATGACAATAACAAAACCTTCAATCCTATGCATGCAAAGAACAAAACCGCATACATCCAGAATCTCTCAACACTTTCAAAGCAAAGTGAGATGAGGGCTACCAGTGTATTTGGTCATCTGGGAGGGCGTTTAGGAATCCCCAATACAGGTGGGTTGCTGCCAAGTCTGCAAACATTTGGAAATGCAGGAGTAATTGGTTTGTGTGTGGTTTTTTTTCTCTCCCCCCACCCTTCAGTTTATTTAAAAATATGCAATAGTAATACATTTCTCTAGCAGTTTTCTCTCAGAGGAATATGATGTGTGAACTTTTGCATGTATACAAGTAACTGTGACTACCTGACAATTTGGTAAACTTGTTTCAATCCTCCTGCTGCATTTGTGAGATTCTTTACTTCCTAAAAAGAAGCACAATGTTTTACTGCCTCTTTGAGAGGGAGTAAAATAATTTCTTACAAATTGGCAGGAGAGGGGAGGGGAGGATCTCTTACCTTGGAAGTGGTGGAGTGGTTTCTGTTTTTGAGTTTCTTCCAGTTCCTTGAGTGAATGGTCTTTTGACCAATCAGCACTGGCAATTATGGGGCCCATATTTATCCAAAGATGGAAGAAATTGCAAGTGAGGGAGTACAGAAATTAAGTTCAAACAGTTTCTCAAAGACAGATCTCCTCCGCCATCAACCAAGTAAAGCAATCTCTCCTGCAGTTTGAGAATTCTCAAAGATTTTCCATTTCAATTCAATGCTATTTAATTTGTTCTCCAACCCTCCCTGCACATACTTCCCTGAATGGAGCAAATTAAAGGTGAATGGACAATTTGGCACATCAATACTTTAACGATTAACAGAATACTTTTTATATGGTAAGTAAGCTTGTTATCTGAACATTCACTCAGTTCAATGGATGAGCTCATTCCATTTGCCATTCTGTAGAAGAAGAATTGAGGTAATACAATCTCTCCACCCCCAGGTTATTTATTACAGCCCCACTGAATCTGATGGAACACTTTTGGATTCCAACAGTGGTAAACCATAAGCTTCTTTGAAGCCTCTCCCCCAAAAGGCATGATAAAAACAGCTATTCTTTGGTGCCCTCAAATTCTTCTGACTTCTTAAATTTTCTTCCCCTATGAAATAAGCTTCTGTTTCTCTTGCCTTATTCTTGTGATGCATTTGGTGCATATCTTTTGGTGGAATGTATATTTTTTAAAAACTTTATTGTAGTGAAGTGACCAAATAAACTGCCATTTTGGTTCCCCACTCCTATTGCATATCTCTCTAGGATTCCACAACCTTCCTGGATTCCCTGCTTCCTAATGTGACAAAGGCCCACAAGAGAAATCCTATTATAATGGGAATTCAGGGAGGTAGCAGGCCAGTGAACATTGTAGAAGGAGAGCCAGGCTAGTCTATGGTGGCAAAACATCAAGAGTCTGGTAGTACCTTTTTCAGGTTTGTTAGATGGAAGAGGTGCTGCTAGACTCCTTCTGATTCAGGCCAGTGGAGAGAGATTGTACCATGAAAGCTCATACAACCACCTCATAGCCACTGAAAGGACTCCTCCTGTGATAATTTCTCTGAAATTTCTTATTTATTTACAGACTTTATTGATATTGTGCCTCATTCCACATGGGCACGGTGTTGTAGAATAACAGCCAATGAATTATAATATCAAAACAATTATAATAATCATGAAAGAGGTCAACCCCTTTCATAAATAACTATAATCAAAAATAATAAGAATAATGGGAGTATTGATGACAATTCCTAAGTAAATGGCATTCTGAACAACTCCATGTTTAAGGTTTTTCTAAAGGTCAGGAGCGATGGAGCCATCTTGACTTCTGATGGAAGGTAGTTCCGTACAGTAGACACCTAAGAAACAAGACAACCTTGCTTTCAAAGGAAGGTTCTTCTTAGAAACAAATTCCCAAAGCAATTTCTTTTCCGTCAGACTGAATGAAAATTACCCAGTAAAAAAATGCCAAAGAAAAGTTGAACAAAGTGTTCATTCATAGTGTTCTTCTTTGCCAAGGATACAAGGATATATGTCGAAGAAGTAGAGGAGGACTGAGAAGATTTATTGGCCACATCCCCCATTATGTTTCCACCATTTTCTAAGCATTCAAAAGGCTGTGGCAGGGATCAAGACTCATGTGATTTCACATTCTGTGATTAAGTTTCTGGATCATACGGGGAACTTGCCACCGAGAATATAACTGGGCCCTCCCACTGTACATCTATGGGAGGCAAATCCCCAAATAGATGCAGGTTGTGAAGATTTCTGGCTTCAGCTTTATGTTGTGAAGTAACATTAATTTTAAAATAGGCTGTTCTCTTGTCATATGAAGTTTTGTTTTGTTCTGTTTTGTTTTAAAAAGCCATTCTGGTAGCAGGTGTTTCTTTTTCTTTCCTCATCAAAGCTAACTATTAGAATAACATGTCAAAAGTGGGAAACTTGCCCAAGAGTATCCAACAATTATATAAGATACTTGCCTTGGTCTATGAAATGAAACTCTCTCTCTCTCTCTCTCTCTTTTTTTTTTTCCTGTCAATGGCACAGGCTTTCTATCACATTTTCATTATTATTTTGTTTTATTTGGATATATCCTTGTGAGTAAAAAAAGCTACTCGAAATTGCTGCTCGATCGTGCTGCTAGAGATTTTTCAGTGGTTAGTCATTTATGCTTGTAAATTACAGGCAAGGGTTCCATGGCCTGTGTAATGCAATATTTTATTCTGGAATATATTCTAGCTACAAAAATGACATCTTGGAGAAACTTTTGGTTTCCTTCTAAAGCAGGGGTGGGCAGTCCCAGATTCTGTGGATCATACATTGTCCCAGTTTCTTTACAGGTATGCAGATTCTTTAAGGCTATGCAGATCAGCCAAGATTCACTTCTAGATTCCAAATGGCAAGATGGGATTGAATAAAAGTGTATGAGTGTCTGTGTCTACATAGACTCATGCACAAAGTCCACTGAATGTTCACATCAACACAAAGGCAGTTGGTCGGATTTGACTCTCAGCGGAAGAGTCAAGCATTCAAGTGGAAAGCTCACACATCTCAATTTATCATCCTTACCTCCTGGGAAGTCCTGAGAGGTTGGTCAAAAAGTCAAGGGGGTAGCTGTGTTGGTGTGATGCTCTTAAAAGCCAGGCTGAGCTTTAATCTCACTTTTGCAGCTGCCATCTTGACCTTTTTTTTATCCCATCCTGCAGACACCATTCCCCCACTCTCAAAGAAATGGCCCCAAAATTCTGATCCTGACCCTTCACTAGTCACTATATCTTGAAACCTTTGGATGATGAAGATAATGAATTTAAAAGTTCAGTCCCCAGCTGTTGTCTTGTAAGGCAAATAAATTAGAGTTCCTCCAATAATACTTATGAGCAGTAGCTTAAATGTGCTGTAGGGTGATTTACTGTATATCAAGAACCAAAACAGCATAGTCAGTTGTGCCAGACTCACAAACATGTTTTGAAAGGTGGTGCATGTCCTATTGCCCTAACATTAACATGAGTGCATTTGAAACTGAAAAGAAAGGGTAGTTTTTCTGAAGTTATAAAGGTCTCTAATCACAAAGAAGATTGCCCAGTAAGGCAACGGTTAGCACATTAAATAAAACCAAGTTGTTTTTAGAGTTACCTCACTTACAACTCTTGCCATGCCTTAAACAGCCTTAAACCATGTCTTAAGGTGATTTCGCTTTTGAATACATTTGGCTCATTAAAACCTCCAAAACTCACATAGGTTGAATTTTGAAAGGATCTGATCTGTGAATCCAGCCATTTTATTTCTATTTCATGAGAGCCAATTGGTGGTCAGTTATGGTCAGAAGTGCAAACTGTTAATGAAGTATGAACAGACCAAGAATGTCATTGTAGATTATGAGAAGTTACTAAGTAACCCCAGTTATTAACCTTAAAATATAATAGTGGATGGGCGCATGTTGCTTTATCAGCTTATTGCCTGATGATTTTATCTGTAAAGTGATAAAAATGTAAATAGTTGTAAAGGTGATGATCTTCAAGGAAGAAAATATTTTCATTTTATTAGATCATACTTAGGAGAAGATGGAGCCTTTCTAAAAGTGGCAAGGTATTGGTGGTAGGGGAATATACATTACAGTTATAAGCCAGAAAGTGAGAAAAGAGGGCATAGAGAAATGCAGGATTGCATTCTTGCATCAAGAGTTTTAAAGATAACCCAAGCAAATATTAATAGTGAACTCATTGTTTTGAGAATAGCTCCTGATCAAGCTCAAATTGCATTACGCGTATACATGAAGGGAATCTCAAACTTTACAGTAGTACCCCCTCAAAAAAAAGTGGGGATGGGGAGAAAGAAAGATCCAAACTGTCCCAGGGAGGACTGACTATGTTGACAGCATTGGAAAGTTGTCTGATGGTTAAAAAGAAGACCAGAATGGAGCAACCTGGAAGAGGGCATGGATGCCTGACATTCCCTGGTTCACAGAAGGGCAGCAGGAATGACCAGAGCATAGATAGAGAGGTTTTGGGGAGCTAGACATATATTGGGATCACCTGTGGAAATCTTTGAAGGGGTGCTTCACTTCAGTGAAATGTCATGTGAAATCCTCGTTTTGAAATCTTTTTGTGAAGCAATATAGCCTTGCACTTCTGAACAACAGAGCAGGGGTTTCATTAGAACAGTGTTGTCCAAACTTGCTGGCTGGGGAATTCTGGGAGTTGAAGTCCACTCATCTTAAAGTGGTCAAGTTTGGACAACACTGCATTAGAAGAAATGGTCTTGTACAAATATGCAGTACATGCCTGGGAGCCTATTTCTGGCTAAGGAAAGCACTTGGAAAAGCAAATTGCACCCACCTTATGCCACCATGGTATGTTTAGCTTTGAAAGAGAAGATTGAGAGGGGAGATGGTAGCATTCTTCAAGTACCTGAAGGGCTGCCCCAAGAAGAAAATGACCCGTTCTCTGTTGTTATAGCGTGAAGGACATGGAAATGGGTTTAAGTTGCAGAAAAGCAGATTCCAGTTGAACGTTTGGAGAAATATCTAGACAGGAAGAGCTATCTAATGCAGGATCAGTTATCAGAGGAGGGCTAAGCTCCAGAATGTATTCAAGCACAGCTTGACATTTGTTGTGCATATCAAGTTGGATTTTAGCAATGTACCAGGAATTGGACTTTATGTTCTCAATTATCTCTCTGAACTCTATGATTCAATGACCTCAGATAGGTAAAAATGCTCTGAAGCATTTTGTTTAGGTTCTGTGTTGTGGTGTTTTGTTGCTGAACAGAGCATTCCATGAAGGGATCAACTTGCATCTCCTATTTTGTGAGCAATGCTATTCAACTCGTCCCCGGGACAAAATTGCTTATTGCCCAAGAGAATCACTCCAGAAGGGGAGGGTAAAAGAGGTCAACAGAAGGCAACACACCGAGCAGGGTTTAATTGCCAATGCACAGTTGTTGCTTTATACATCATAATAAGCATAGCCATGTTATCAGCAGAGGTCAAGGTGTCATCCTTGTTTAAGTGAACAGATTAGCAGGCTTGGTACCAAGACTCAGTTAATTGCTAGTAAGAACTGCTGCACAGGAAAAAGCTGGTGAGTTCACTGAATATCCATGATGCTTGGAAATAGGAAGGGAGATAGGTAAGAGAGGTTTCCATTCTTCTTTTTTTTTCCCCCCTCCTTCTCTCTAGTTTAATTTAGGGGGTTGGTTTGGGAGCCACGACCCTTCCAAATAGATGGAATAGGATTCCAACTCTGCCTTCTTTCATCTCTTTTACATTCAAGTGATGTATGTGTCATATGGCACAGAACCCTTTTTAGCAGCTTTTGTACCCTCCTCTGAACTGGCTGCTTAATTTCATTTGCTACGGTTGCAGAAAACTGCTGACATAGTTTCCTGCCAATTTTGAGGCAGGAACTACATGAAAACTCTAGTGTGCATTGTGAAAAAGGCTGAGTGCAGCTTAAAATGCAAAAGGAGTGGGGAAAACACCTTACCTGGAGATAGCAGAAAGAATAGCTGGGATTTTTTTACATGCAACCCATGCATTCTGCTTGCTAATAATGATCTATAGTCTTTTCCTTTGTATTTTGGGTGTGTATATTATTAATACTGTCATCATCATCTAAAGTTTATCATGGCCATAAACCAGCATCATAACATATTTATCCAATAGTAGTGTGTGTGTATGTGTGTGTGTGTGCGTGCACGCGTGCATTAAGTACAGTAACGTTTTCTGAAGAAAAAAAAGTAATAAAATATATTATAATTGGCCTATGGGGCCTGACTTCTGGTATCCCTTGTCTGTGTGTGTGTTCAGCTTGACTGTTTTTCATGCAAATGGTTAAAAAACCTCCAGGCTATTTTCTCATGGAATTGACCATGTAATTTTCACCCTAGGTTTTATATGAAGAACTTCCATTATCTCTATTAAATATATCCAGACTAGTATAGGTTACCCTCATTTATAGCAGTTCTCAGGAGAAAGGATTCCCAGCCCAATTGTTTGAGATCCTATAATGGGGAATCTAGAGCAGGGAATTGGTGTCAAGCTCCCATCTAATGTCCTCACAACCTACCCCCAGAAGCAGGATTGTAACTCCCTGATGCAGCTAGCTGACAGTTCTATATGCATTAATTTGAAAGGGTCCTCCAAGTGACATATGGAGAAATGTCTGTGATGGGGATCCTCCATGGCCAATTTACAATGCATGGTTCTAATCTTCAGAATGATATTTATACAGTAACTGTCTATCCCGTTAGAAGCAGTAATTTTCCTGCTTTTATTTTTGTCATTCAATTGGATATGAGAGAAATTACATTAGAAATTCTTCCAAAGGATAATAGAATGGCAGATGAATGTTCACAGGTGGAATATGGCACTTATTCATTTATTTAATTACCAGGAGGCCAAAGGCATGTGTGAATGTCCTGTCTTTCACTGTACAATTCTCTCTCTGGTAGTCTGCAGTCTCCTTGGTTTCCCAACTTCAGTTAAATCCAAAGGGAAGACACCACAGGGAACTCCTTCATGGGGCTTTTTCAGTAAGAATTCTTCTGTCAGCGCTAAGGGGAAATCCTACCCTTGAGAGATTGTTGAAGAATTTCAGGTAAATCATCCACCCAATTTCCCTGCCTGAGAACTGGGCATAAAATTTTGAAAGGCTGCTTGTGCCCTGCTCTAAGTGGTGATATTACTATCTTAGGGAGAAGATGCCTAGGATAGAACAGTGTGTGGAACAGAAGGGCCACAACAGGTCCACCTGAACCACCTCTTATGAGAATCTAACTTCATCATTTCATATTATTTGATATCTAATTTTTAGACTATATTTTCAGAGGAGAAATTCATCAGAAACCAGCAGGATAAGGATTTTGCATCAAAATCCATGATAAATGTGACTACTCAGATACTTTGAAGAATTATTTTTATCCCACACCTACACAATTTAATACTGAAAAAAACTTTTGCTGTTTGCCATATTAATATAAGTATTACTGTAGTAGGCTATTAAAAAGCAATCTGTATTGTTTTCAAGCGCTTCATGCAAACAAAACATAATTTTATCTGAAACCATGGAGAAAGATTGCTCTGCAAATATTCCAGTATAATAAATGCTTATCAACTGAAATATGATGCATGTTGTACTATTCAGATGATGGCAAAAAAGAATTCGTCTACTACAGAGCCACAATAAAAATAATAAGTTCCTTTTGTTTGGTGCAACTTCGATTCACTTTAATTCTAGCAAGCACTTGGAGTGTTTCCAAGTAATTTTTGTCCTTGCTGTTCCAGGAGTTAGCCTGCTAATTCCACATGGGGCTATCCCTGAAGAAACGTCTTGGGAGATCTACCTTGCAATCAACCAAGATGAGTCAAGGTAAGGCAGGAACAAAATCTGATATGTATATATCTATTTAACATCATCAAGAAAAGAAAAGAAAAGAAAAGAAAAGAAAAGAAAAGAAAAGAAAAGAAAAGAAAAGAAAAGAAAAGAAAAGAAAAGTTTCCTAATTCTAGGTAACATCTTGGCTAATTCCATGTCAGCCAAGCACTGATACAGGAAATGAATCCTGCTAGAATTAAAAATGGGAAGATAAATAGCAGATGCAGGAACATTTCAATATTCTGTATCCATTTTAAGCTAAAAATGGGTTTCCCATTTCTAACTTTGTGTGCATTTAAGGACAGATGTTGGTTTAAATGAGCAGTATTCATTCCATCATATGCAGCTGAAATTCAGTGTTCTCCTGATGGCCTGCAAAGTGAAATAGCATTCAGGAATGGCATATTTTAGGGAAATTTGAGGTACTTTTGGGAAAACTGAATTAACCATTTTCTCTCCAGATCTTTTGTTTTGCAAAGCATTAGTCCCCTGAATGTATTATCCTAAATTTTGAGATGGATATCGTCAGGTTCTATTTGTTATGGGCCTGTTTGTGCCAAAACAGATTTCATTTTGGTCAATCTGTCTTTTTATTTTATTTTGTTTGTTAAAATAAGAGTCAGCACATTGTTTGGTTTGACCTTGGCAGAGAGAGCTTCTGTAACATTAATTTTAAAATGTAATACAAATTCATCCATACTATTACGAGAACCTAACTAGCAACCTCTTTTAAGCCTGAGTCCCTCTATCCTCTACCCTGGTTAGCCCTGTATAGTTTTTTCCTCCTCCAATTGCCTTCTGGAAAATGTATGTATGTATGTATGTATGTATGTATGTATGTATGTATACACTTTTTGACAGTACTAACAAGTAGTGAATCTGCAGGACTAAAACATTTTGTACACACACACACACACACATACACACACATATATATACAGAACAAAT